AACTATCATAGCTATACCACAGAGTCGCTGTCTCAAAGACATACCTGCATCATAGCAAGTCGCAATTATGCGCCTATCAGCAGGAAACACGCTTAAATTCCACAGTTCCCCAATAGGATGGGTGTAAACTTCTTTGGATACTTGATTCAGCTCTTCATCATAATGAAGAAAATATACCTAAAATGAAAAAGTTGAAACAAAAACAAAACTATAAATGCTACATACGGTAATTAAGTACGAAATTGAAGAAAACATCATTTCTAAAACAAAAACGTAATTTTCAGGCACATAGGCACAATGACGAAGTGCTATGTAAACGTAAACACAGCTTCTGGAATAATACGCTTATAAACATGCTCTCTGAGAACTATTTCTAATATTATTGCGAAAGTACATCAGGAGGCATGCTCCTGAAACATAATTTGTAATGAACAAGTACAGTTCGTTCTGATCAACATAACGATACCAAATACATCGACACACTACTAGTGTACAAATACAATGGAGCGCGGTCTCCTTAAATGACCCCGTAAACAGGGTAAGGGTATGGTAGTACCCTAGAAGTCAGGTAATGTACCATAAGGCCACTAAAATAGGAACTGGTTCATGTTTATTACAACTCATAACATAATCATAGAAATTGAACAATATTCGCTTATTCAGGAGATTAAGTCGAAGTTTGCAGGAAATTTCATGGAACTGTTGTGCATTTAAATTCTGTAAAAATACTACCGATATTTTGAGCCACATTTGGCTCTTCACCAAGGCACAACCTAATAGTGATGAGCAGCAGTCATAAAAATCAAGAACGTAACGTAATCCAAGATATTTATAAACGCTGAGATTTGGATATGACTATATGGTTCTGCGAGATTAAGCAGTTCTCGTCTGTGGGGCAGAAGAGAAGTCATGAACAAGAGGTGTGGCTGTAGCGTAGCTCAAAGGGTAAACTCCGCACGGACCAGGCCTAACACAGCCGTCACCTGAAACCTCATTTGGCAGAAGTGAAGGGCAAACAGTAGTTCAGTCCAAGATGTCTGGTAAGCACGGGCAGTAGCCAAATCGAGTGAAATGGAACAGAGAAAATCTGCCCAAAAACAGCATCCTGTTCCCTGTATGGAGCTCGAGTAACACTATGACGCACTACATTACATGACTGACGGATGACCTCTGAACTTCAACAGTCACGAGTTGATGCCTAAGGGACTGCGAGCGCTCAGTTGGAAGACTTCTATACTGATGGGAAGATGAGCAAAGGGAGGTATTGAAGCCGCAACGATAAATCTCATCAGACAAACGAACATTCACATCAACAAGAAGTAATGGAGACTTTCGTTATTCACAAAGAATGATCACTCAATCACTGCTGCTGTTGGGAGTTTTTGTGGGTAACAAAACAAAACAGAACTTTCTTATGTATCATACAAACTACTGTGTCAACGAATGATAAGTTACTGCGACATTTCGGTCTGTACTTAAATCCCCTTATTTAGCAAGGTAAATGTTTCTCCTCGTCAATGATACCGTCTGCATTAGTTTCAGAGTTTGAGCTGTAAGGTCTTGCAATAATGACAAAATCACAGACCTTAGGTTTAAAGTAACATGACAATAAAAGACAAAATCGTAGTCCTTACGGCTCGAACTCTGACACATGCTGCAGACGATTAAACATCTGTGATAAATGAAATGTTCAATCACTTCGTACCGAAGATTTGACTTATGGGATGTCGCAAATTTACGATAATATCTTCCTCTTTTTTATCATTGTTTGCCAAAGTTTCTTGTCTCTTATGTTTGATATGAGTATCCCGCTGTGAGCGGGACGCGTTTCAATGGTACTGTAGGCCTCTAGAAGTAAAAGAACTAAGCATTCGGAAAATTTACAGCTACATGTTTAAACAGCAGAGCTTCTGCGTGCGTTGATAGGTAGTCAGCTTTACCCAACAAAAACGAACATCAACAAAATACAACACAAAAGTATTTTCAGTAAGGTCTGCAGAACAGATACAAATATTGGCATCAAGTTCATTTTCAAATAGCGCGTCTACTTCAGGCTATGCCAATTCGCAGTTAATCAAGAAACAAAACACTTTGTACCTGATTGACAGATTTTAATGACTGAGTTCCGGCAGCAAATACGGTTTTTTCATCGTTAGAAGGGCACGGCGCCAAACATCTAGCCTATAATCACACTCTCTTCACTTTAAACGTGCGAAGGTGAATGCTTGCCTGGAAGTCCAACCCGAAAATGATCGGATTTTCTTCGTCTTTGTCGAAATTCATGTTAATCTAAAGGATAAATCATTAAATGATTATGACCAATCATTCTGAAAAAAGCACAAAACACGCCTTATTTACATACAACGCCAACAACATGGTCAATGGGATGACTGGCTTTCTGGCTCCGAACGAACGAAGAGTTGCGAACGACTAAAAGTTCTTCTGAAGTTAACCTGTGCTGTTACCTTGAAGAAGACTCACTGCTCGAGAGGTCGGCACTCGTCAACCATCGGAATGATTATTTGTGATGATGATTGCATTGTGCACAAGTAAACGGTTTTGTATTGTTTTTAGTATCAACACCTAATGCACGAACTAAATGTTCAACCTTCTCACCCAAAACGCTTTATTTCATTCGTATAAATCAAAATAATGGTTTCCCCTTTCAGAAGCGAGAAAGTTCAAGAAAGGGAAAGCTGTGCTTGGTACTTGCACGTTTCTCATGAGTTTCAAATAGCAATCTGCACAGTAACTCAATAACACAATGTCCTCGCATATACAAGTCCATCAGTACCTTGAGCTGCGTCCTTAATATTGTTGTGTCATCGTCATCTGAAGCAAATAAGTTTCAAACAGCAGACTAACCCAAGTTTATCATGTCTGGTCGTTAGAAATGGTCCTTCAGACTGATATTAGGCAACATCTGCTGATTAACTATTAGTTTCTTGTTGTTAATTGTAAAAACGCTTCTCCGCATCGCCTAATTCAGCAACACAGTATTGAACAGCAGAAGAAAAAGCACTTCACCTTAACAAACTTTAATCCTGACATTCGATTAGTCTGACAGTGATTCTTTAGTTTAGACGGCGCATTCTGTCCCATCATGCAGACCTTCTATCAGCATTACCGTCATCTGTGGGAAAACATAGTGAGGATCACGCGCCACACTGTCAGACGACGAACTGCTTCATCTAAGGCTGCCCCAAAGTCCACAGATGATTTTTGCGAGTTTACGTATACAGGCTCTTAGGTTAACACATAAAGGTAAACACGGTTAGAACCTTGGAATAATTATTCCAGGCTTTCAACCGTGACTCACCTTTATCTATTTATGCGAGTTGCTGCCGAATATCATCTTGGCACCTGCAGACAGGACACCTTTCATGCTGTTCTAGCGCAGCTCCGGGTCTTGTTTACTGTCAGTACCAACAACAGCAGTGGGTCTGCTGATAATCTTCGTATGGGACGCCGCATAAACAAACCCTTCAACTGGTCTATATCAATGCGGACCTCAGTCGTTTTCAGGCTGTTCGACTAGTTTTTGCCAAATGAAGGCGAACCACTGTGACCGCGTTCGAATTCCCTACCTGCCGTGAAGGGCTATGCGCCATTTTTTGATGACCATTAAGTGACTGTTCTGACTTCCGAAACAGTTTCCTGGCGCAGCCCAGCCTGATCCTAAATGTAACAATGCGGTGAACAGGGTCCCATTAAGACGAGATAGTGTCGGCCCCACAGATCTAAAAGTTGGAGATCAGATCCTTGTTACTGGGAACACCTAGCGCCCAGGCTAACTATCTTGATCGGAGCTGACCCTGATCGTCAGCGATACCGGCGACACTTGCAGACAATGAGTAAGAAAAGCAGAAAAACTGCATGAAACATGAGCATGAGTAAAACTATTTCGAATTGTCCGCTACCTTTTTGGAGTACAAATGGTGACAATGTTCATTTTGGCATGCTTCACGTCCTTAACCTGTAGGCATGTCAGTTCACAGAGATCAAAGATTTAACATTGAAAACGGCAAAACTCCGACTCCAATTAGTGATGAGTTCTGATTGACAGAACAGCGACCCGTTTTCAATTTATCGATTCTTTACGTCTTACAGGTTGGTCCTCCGAAAGTAAAAGGCTGCAGACTACGCTAAGGGAAAAATAACTCATACACAAGAATCACTATTCAGCTTCCGCATATTCAAACAGAAGAATTACTGCTTCTAATGGAAAATACTGTTCTTGCGGATGAAAATCCTTGGTTATCAAAGTTACACTGTCATGTGGAAGTAAACTGCTAATCGCATAGGTGCTGTAAATAGCACCTGTGGCAGGGTGAAGGAAGTACAAGTGAATGTGGCCACGGACAGATGAACACTACATTCTACAACGTTTCTCCGTAATGTTAATTTCATTTGTTTAAAATAAGGCTCTACGTACAGCGTGAGTTGAATAGAAATGACATTTAAGCTGACTCAATTTAATATAACAGAACTAAGTTATACTTAAACCAAATTTCATTTGAAAAATGGCTCAGAACGTGTGAACTCGTACACCCTTGAAGATTTTACTTTAGCGGCTGGGATATTGCAAGTTGATCAAAAGGTAAAGTGCGAGGAAAACTCCCTGACTGCAGTTATAATATTACGGAAATGCACTATAGAAATTGCTGAACGTCTGACAGTGATTGGTTCCGAACTTCAGAAATTTCTTTAGAATGTCGTAATTAAACATTTTATGCATTGTTATACCGTTTGTAATTTGTCGAAATACATTGTCATCTCCAGCATAAAGAATTCATGTATTATTTACAACGTTCTTTGGAAACGTGCATGTTTACAGCCTGATGTGCCTGTAGCCCCCCTGCTGCTATGTAGAGGCTTCTTTGTATTCTTTAGAG